GCATGTCTAACTTGATTGCCTCAATCTTGGCATTAATTCCTTTCTAATATCCCAAAATGAATTCCAATTTCCCTAGCAACATCACCAGGGGCCATTCTATTCTTATTCTCTCCATAAATGCATTTATTCCCCCATAGGCAAGCTAAAAATGTGACTTTTGTGGATATATTTGTTTTTTCTCTGCCTTATACCTAAAATGTAAATGCATATTAACTATTGAAAAAGGACAGCTGATATAATTTTGTATATAACAAATGCTCTAATGATTATAAGAAACTAAATAAAAAACAAGGGATTTTATTTAACTAGTTGTCAACAGGAATACCATGTAATACAAATAATTATTTTTTAGTTTATATCTCATGAAAGCAATTCCAAAGGCATGTTCCACCTGACAAAGCTATTTCGGCAGCACACCACACCCATGCTTTTTTTAGTTAGCAGATGTTCTGAGACTATATATGGTGGGATGTAACTGGAACTAAAGCTCCAAGTTCTAGACCCATGCTGACCAATAGAGTAGGTGCTAGCCACATATGGCTACTGAGCACTTGAGATGAAGGTCAAATTGAGATGAAGGTCAAATATGGACCAGATCTCTAAAAAGAGTTAACCTCATTAATGTTTAATTAGATCACATATGAAAATATTTTGTGTATTTTGGGTTAAACAAAATATATTCTTTCTTTTTTTCTTTCATCTTGATTGTTGAAAGTATTACATCCGTCCCCTTCCTCCCCCCCCCCCGCCCCCATTGACTCATTCTAGTCCACCCTTGCCCTAAGCCTTCCCCCGACACAATTGTCTGTATCCATTGGTTATGCATATATGCATGTAAGTTCTTTGGTTGATCTCTTCCCACCCACCCACCCCCACCTTCTGAGATTCGACAGCCTTTCCATGCTTCTATGCCTCTGGATCTATTTAGTTCATCAGTTTATTTTGTTTATTAGATTCCACATATGAGGGAGATTGTGTGATGCTTGTCTTTCTCTGACTAGCTTATTTGGGTTAAACAAATAGAATGTTTCACAACTCTGGCCTCAATATTCCTACCAGGTATAACTTGTTGGGGCTGAGGAGGAGCCCGAGAGCTCCGATTCCATCTGAATCCCACTGCTACATAACATCTGCGGAGGTGCTTAAGGAAGACCAGAAAAAAAAAATTTAAATAAAAAAAGTAATATGAAGTGTTCTTCCTACCCCAAGGTTGTCAGGAGAGTGGGTTCAAACGACATACGTGTGAAATTGTCTTAAAAACTAAAGTCTGATCACTTTTCTGGCCCAGGGTTACCGTAAGAATCAGGTTTCACATTGTACAACCAAGTAGGTTAAAAAGGCTTCTCAATTCTAACTGCAGAAGTGCCCCCAGACAAAGCACTGGAGAGTTTTTGTCTGGTCTATTAGAGAGAACGCCCAGGGGAATCCTCTGGTATTCAAGAGTTCACAGCACTCTTCCCTGGGGAATGGAGAGACAGACGGAGGGGGGTCAGGTAGAGTCAGTGTAACAACCTAACAAAGACGGGGCTCAGCACATTGGGCTCAGTGTATCTGAATGTTCCTTGGGAGCATCTCACCTGTGCAGCCAAAGCATCCTTCCTTTGCAGGAACCTATAAAACCCACAAAGAACATACATCGACCCCAGTGATTTGCAACCTTTCTCATCTCATGGCACACCAACTAATTACTAAAATTCTGCAGCACACCCAAAAATATATTATATTTTTTGCCAATCTGACAAAAAAAAAAGGTGTAATTTTGATTCATTCATTCATATTGTTGTATTGTCTGTTGCCATTTCTTAAAAAAATGAAAATCTAAGGGAAAAGAGATTGTGTCCCTGACTAAAGAGTCAGGTAGAATGCATGTTTTAAAGATTCCTGCAGCACACGGTTAAAAATCTCTCATCTACCCTATGGGAAGGTGAAAAGTAACCACGAATAGTTATGTTGTTTCTACTCAAAATCTATACACATTTTTATCTCTTAGAAGTAAATGGAGCCTGATTTGTGTGGTTCAGTGGTTGAGCGTCCACCTATGAACTAGAAGGTGCCGTGTTTCAATTCCCTGTCCAGGTACATGTGGGCTAGACCCCCAGTGGGTCGTGTGCAGGAGGTAGCCAATCAATGATTGTCTCATCATTGATGTTTTTCTCTCTCTCATCCTCTCCCTTGCTCTCTGAAATCAATAAAAATACTTTAAAAAATAATTAAATGGAAACAAGTATCTTCAAAAGGCTCTAGCCGTTTTAGCTCAGTGGAAAGAGCACTGACCCTCAGACTGAAGGGTCCTGGGTTTGATTCTGGTCAAGGGCACGTACCTTGGTTGGTTGTACGTTTGATCCTGGCCCTGGTTGGGTGCAAGTGGAAGGCAACCAATCAATGTGTCTCTCTCACATTGATGTTTAACTCTGTCCCCCTCCCTTCCACTCTCTCTCAAAATCAATGGGGGGAAAACTCTTCAAAAGAATGAAAGTGATTTAACAGTTTCCAAAGAAATTTGCACTGTCTCAGTATGTAAACACACTGGTTAATTTGACCTTTAATCCTTTTTCTCAGCAACTATCAAAGGGCAAACTAAACCATGCCATTGATCTCACACCTACCCTAAAAACAGACTGTTACTATCTTCTTCCCTCAAGTCTTTTGTTCTAAGGGCGTCCTAACAGTGAAAATAAATTGCAAATACTGCTGAGTCAAGTTAAGGCCTTTAAGGCTTAAACTCTAACTGACTAACTCTTTATTAGAAGCCATGGGTGAGTCAAGAAAGTCAATGAGATGGGAAAGCATAAGAGAGACAAAATGTCTCTTTAAGTCACAAGTTTGCCACTGAATGTAGAAACATTTTCAACTTCCTTCCCATTTTCTTTTACATGGAGCTAGGGAAGGATTCAACAAATTGTATAAATGACAAAGAAATACCACTAACAGAGCCCCAAGAGAACAGCAGAGTAAATCCTGAACTCTGCTGGCTTCCTGTGCAGACCGCTTCGCCATGCCCAGGTGGCCTTCTCCATCCCCTCACACTCCTCCACTGTAACTTCAGGACCACTGAAGAGACCAAGTAGACGGTGAGGTAGGGAGCCAGTCCTAGAAAAGTTTACTGCTTTTTACTTCCACTCAGCACCACACTCATTAACAGAAATCAATGTAATTCCAATACCAATCTAACAATTATTCTAGAACAGTGGTTCTCAACCTTCTGGCCCTTTACAGTTCCTTATGTTGTGACCCAACCATAAAATTATTTTCGTTGCTACTTCTTAACTGTAATGTTGCTACTGTTATGAATCGTAATGTAAATATCTGATATGCAGGATGGTCTTAGGCGACCCCTGTGAAAGGGTCGTTCGACCGCCAAAGGGGTTGCGACCCACAGGTTGAGAACCGCTGTTCTAGAATATTAGATTTGTTTCCTTAAACAATACCAAATAGGTGAAAGACAGGAAAATAAAGGCATAAGCTCCTTTTAGTTAGATAAATTTTAATTACTTTCTGGATTACTTTAATAACGTTGATTTTTAAACATAAGTTGTTTTTTTAAAAATATACTTATTGATTTCAGAGAGGAAGGGAGAGGGAGAGAGAGAAACATCAATGAGAGAAATCATTGATCAGTTGCCTCCGACACACCCCACACTGGGGATTGAGCCCACAACCCAGGCAGGAATTGAACCATGACATCCTGGTTCATAGGTCAATGCTCAAACAGGCATTAATAACTACTTTAAAGTTCACGTACATAACTTGCTGGCTACCAATTGAACCAAATAAAAAATTCGTAGTTTCACCCTGGTTGGGTGGCTCAGCTGGTTGGAGTGTCCCATACACCAAAAGGTTGTGGAGTTCGATTCCCAGTCAGGGCACATACCTACCTGGCTGCTGGTTCAATCCCCAGTTGGGGCATGTATGGGAGGCAACATCAATGTTTCTCTCTCTCTCTCTCAAATCCATGAAAACATATCCACAGGTGAGGATTAAAAAAAGAATTCGCAGTCTCTATTCTCAACTTTATTTAATTATACCTGATAAAGATTTGTATAGGATGAGGAAAGGTAGAAACAAATAGGGGGGTGGGTATAACAGGCTACAAACAAGAGATACAAATGAGACTGAGGTGATATAAATTGTCCATCATTGAGGGCGTGGCTCATGGCAAAGCTGGCACCGCAAGCTGCCTGTGCAGGACACTGGGCCCAGCCCTGCTCACCTCCTCCACCACGTACCTATTCTTTTTTTTTTTCTTTAATATCTTTTTATTGATTTTTTTTTTTTTTTTACAGAGAGGAAGGGAGAGGGATAGAGAGTTAGAAACATCGATGAGAGAGAAACATCGATTCAGCTGCCTCCTGCACACTCCCCACTGTGTATGTGCCCGCAAGCAAGATACATGCCCTTTACCAGAATCGAACCTGGGACCCTTCAGTCCGCAGGCCGACGCTCTATCCACTGAGCCAAACCAGTTAGGGCCATACCTATTCTTGATCTTCAAATGCTCCCTTCCCCTCTAGGCCTTTTTCTCAAGTCAACAAACATGAACTCCTGCCTAGTACACCTTTCCCTGTTTATCCAATTAACATGCACTGTGCCATGTACTGGGAATGCCAGGGAGAATAAACAGACAATCCCTGACCTCATAAAATGTACAGCCAGGCGAAGGAAAACAATTGCGATAAAGGCACACCTGGCAGATGCCACCACATGCCCAGCAGCGGGAAGTGCCCGGAGCACAAGTAAGCTCCCATAGTAGCACGCCAATGACGAAGCTATTTCAACCATCTTCAGAGATACTGATATAACCTGGGACAGTGGCTGGAGAGATACATGTGACTTGGAAACTGACTGGATGTAAACAGGTAAAAGAAGAGCAAGAGTCAGGTAAGATACCCAGATTTCTGCCTGGCCATCTTGGTGGCGGAAAATGCCATGGAATGTGAGGCCACAGTGGTATGTAGACAGGTTCAACCGGAGGTGCCTGTGGGGAGTCGAAGCCAAGATGTCAACCGTGGGTGGTTCGAAATGATGGGCAGAGCTTGGGAACAGACTAGAAACAAGGCTGGAGGCTGCGGAGACTCACATGGTAGCTGAAGCCACAAACTGAGAAACCCCAACATTGAAGGTACAAGGAGGAAACTGGGCCCACGGAGCTAGGTCTGGGTGGCTGGAAGTTAAAGGGGTCCTTATGGGCTGGCTTCTTCTACCTTCTCCCCTGGGTCTGCTACTGACTCATGACATTATGGCCATGAGTCACTGTCAAAGCAACCGCAAGTGCAAAGTACATTTCTCACTCCACTCGCCTGAGGCCACTCCTACATCTATCACAATCTGCCTTTACTCTCACCCCTACAAAAACTGTCCTCCCCGTGGAACCGATTAACTTCCTGGAATGTTCTTAATAATCTCCTAAGAGTAAGACCCACTGGCCTTATTTCTGTGACAATGTCTGAGACCCCTGCACCTTCTAGTTCTACATTCCCGGTCACTCCTCATCATTCACCTTGTGTCGACTTGCCAGCCGTTGGTGTTCCCCCATGTCCCATTTCACCTTCTCCTCTAGTCAGTCCTTCCTGCCTTTCCTGATTAACCTCACACTGATGCCACCTATCACCAGTGATTCCCAATTCTCTATCACTAATGCTCACCTCTATCCTAAGATCCAGACCTTTGTTTAGATATCTTTGCTGGATATTCTTCACCTTCATCCCCTCAGGCACCTCAAATACAACCTGTTCAAACATAAGCTCATTGTCACCTCCCTAAAACGTGTTGTTCTTTTCTTTATAGGCTGGCCACATCACCATTCCCTCAAGCCAAAAATCTTACTGCTTCTCTCCAACCTCTTCTTGCCGCTCATGCAACCAGCTCCACTGCAATTCCCTCAAAACAACTTTCCAGATCAAAGAGGAAGCCCGGCACCACGCTGCTGTGTTTCAACAGAGGCTGCTTATGTCCGGGTCATCCCAGAAGGAGTCCTGCGTTGGCGCTATCGGGTCTGCCTGCCTGGGAACTGCTGCAGAGTTCTGCATCCTTCAAGAGAATGACGTCAGTGTAAACCTCACTTCTTTAATGCCTCCACAGGCTTCTTGGTGCCGCTGTGGGGGGTCAGGGGTGTGGGGTGCACTTTATCTTGACAGATGTCTAGCATTTCTCATCTCCTAATAAAGCTCTTGGAAAAGCCTTTAGATCTTCGTCCACCCAAAGTGTGGTCAGCAGTGACATCATGGGGAAGTTGTTAAAATGCAGAATCCCTTATAAGAATGACTCAAGTGCACATCAAAAGTTTGAGAAGTGCTGGCTAGATGCTTTACATGAACTGAATTTCTCAACTCCCAAGGCACATCGTACCATTTCGGATCTATGTCTTTCAAAAGCTGTACCATCTGCTGGGAAGGTCCTACCAAACCTTCTACACCATGCAGTCCTACACTAATGTAAGAGCCCCTAGCGCAAGACAGTACATGGCAGGCCAGAAATATGTGATTGATTAGATCATCTGATCAGTTAACAGACGAGTCTCAGGTTCTGAAGTGCATTCAGGTGGAAGTTGAATGTTAGGTAGCTGGAAATAGAGGCCCAGAGTTCAAAGGAGAGGTGGGCTGAGCTGGCAATCTTTTTAAGTCAGCAGCAAACTATTTCAGAGGTTACAGTAATGAATAGGTAAGGTCACCCTGGTTTAAGATGGAGACTGAGAAGACGACCATGAGCCAAATCATGGGAAGGCTGACACTGAAGGGACCTATTGTAGAAGGCAGATTAAATCAGGTTAGCAGGGTGGGAAAGGACCACAATAGGTGCCAAGGAGCTCCCCCCAAAAATAAATGGATCTGGCACCCGTTATTGTTATCTTTGGCAATTGAAGCTGGGGTGGGGCTGGGAGTGGGGTGGGGAAGTGGGACAGAACAATGAGGGCAGAGAGAAAGCAGATGCTTAACTTCTTTCGCCTAATAACTGAATGAATGAGTCAGGGCTAGTGAAATGATCACAACAAGGACCACTGGATAAGAAGGGAGAGAAAGAGAAATGGAACTGACGAGAGCTACCTCATATACATGAGCCTAGTGGCAAAGAGGTTAAAAACTTAGTCACGCAACATTTGCTGAACACTGGCTATCTGCCACGTGCCACAGGCTAACCCTGGGACTATAACAATGAACACACAGGTAATGCCCCTGCCCTCTGACCTGGTGCAGAGAGATAAATGGAGTCATTGATGGAGATCCCATAACACATAGGTTAAGAAGCCAATATAGGGTGGCTCCCCTTAAGGAAGAGGCAACTTTTGCTGTGGTGGTTGGTATAATGACAGGAATGTAAATGTTGGGAGATACATGGAAGGATAAAGTTCACATCTAATAATCTTTTCTTTTTAATGTGAAAGAAAAGATTCCAGGAAAACAAAAAAAGGAGAAACATTTCACTTTGTTCCTCAACAACTCTAAGTAGGATCCCCATTCTTTTTTTTTTAATTGATTTCAGAGAGAGGAAGGGAAGAGAGAGAGAGAGAGAGAGAGGAACGAGAGAGAAACATCAATGATGAGAATCATTAATTGGCTGCCTCCTGGACACCCCACACTGGGGACTGGGGATTGAGCCCGAAACCCCTGCATGTGCCTTTGACTGGAATCGAACCTGGTCCACAGGCTGGTACTCTATCCACTGAGCCAAACCGGCTAGGGCAGTAGGGTCCCCATTCTTCACACATAAAGTGATTGAGGCACACAGAAGGACAGAGGCCTGCTCCATCAAATGGCTAACGAGTGATTGGGAGACCACAATCATCGACCAGCACATTTTTGTTCCACTCACGTTGACAGAGTGGAAAACAGCGGCACCCAAACTTTAACAAGATGCCCAGGTGCTGCTCTGCAGGTGCCTGAGCCATGTTAGTCTGCAACACCAGTCTAAGCCCTGGATCCTCATGCTTTCAACAAAGATAAAGGACTTAAAGGGCTAATAATAAAAACCTTCATACTGGGCACACAGCCAAGCCAACAGCACGTTCTTAGTAAATGACTAATAACCAGTAATAGAAATTTAGGATGTGGATTAGAGTAATCAAAGAAGAAAGTATGCCCTGGCCGGAAGCTCAGTTAGTTAGAGCATCGTCCCAATACAGGGTTGTGGATTCGATTTCCAGTCAGGGCACATACAAGAATCAACCAATGAATGCATATCTAAGTGGAACAACAAATCAATATTTCTCTCGCTCTCTCAAATCAATCAATAAAAAATTTTTAAAAGAGGAAAGTAGCTGCTTTTAGAGGCAGAATAGCATAGTTATAAGAGCAAGAATGAAGAAGGAAATTTGTGATTTTGGCAAGTTACAGAACCACTCTGTGCCTCAGTTTCCACACCTGTACAACAGGGATCATCCTAATACATACCCTCTATGGTTGCTAGATAGATTTAATATATGTGAAGCCCCTAGAACCGTGGTCGGCAAACTGCAGCTCACGAGCCACATGCGGTTCTTTGGCCCCTTGAGTGTGGCTCTCCCACAAAATACCACGTGCGGGTGCGCACGTACAGTGCAACTGAAACTTCGTGGCCCATGTGCAGAAGTCGGTATTTTGTGGAAGAGCCACCCTCAAGGGGCCAAAGAGCCGCATGTGGCTTGTGAGCCGCAGTTTGCCGAGCTGCAGTTTGCCGACCACTGCCCTAGAACAATGCCTGATATTTAATAACTGCTCAATCGAGGCTTTAGTTTTCCTACCATTCCTCCTGCTCTACTACTACTGCCAATACCAGTACTGTATTATGACTTGTTGCTAGTTTGGAAATTAAAATGCATCAAAAGGAGTTCTACCAGCAACCAGAGTACGGCACCAAACTCCTTACAACCCACACAGAGACAGCTAGCTCCAGAGGAAGCTCTACCACTCACAGCACTGCAATTTTTACAACATATTAAGTCCCCATCTTGTTTTGCCAATTGCAGGATTATGCTACCACTCAACTTGAGTTCGTAACAATAAATTTCTGAAGTATCAAGAAGTAGCTGAAGAAATACGCAAAACCATACATCAATTACATAGTTTCTGAGTTGTCTCCTCTGGTGGAAAATTAAAAATAGTTGTCTGCCCCTAACCGGTTTGGCTCAGTGGATAGAGCGTCAGCCTGCGGACTGAAGGGTCCCAGGTTCGATTCTGGTCAAGGGCATGTACCTTGGTTGTGGGCACATCTCCAGTAGGGAGTGTGCAGGAGGTAGCTGATCGATGTTTCTCTCTCATCGATGTTTCTAACTCTCTATCCCTTTCCCTTCCTCTTTGTAAAAAAAAATCAATAAAATATATTTAACACCCCCCTCCCCCAAAAAAAGAATTCTTTAAAAAAAAATAGTTGTCTGGCCCTAGCCGGTCTGGTTCAGTGGATAGAGCATCCCGCCCGGGACTGAAGGGTCCTGAGTTCAATTCCAGCCAAGGGCACATACTGTGGTTGCAGACTCCTCCCCCGCCAGGCAACCAATCAATGTGTTTCTCTCACATCAATGTTCCTTCTCTGTCTTCCCCTCTCTCTTCTACTCTCTCTAAAAAAATCAATGGAAAAATATCCTCAGGTGAGGATTAAAAAAAAAAGTTGTTCAGTTTAGCTAGATGTTCGCTGTACCCTACTGTACACTTGATGAGCAGAATGGCCTATGTGTATCAAAATACCCTTGGTTGAGATTGTGCCTACCAAAGTGAGGCATCCAGAAAAATCCAACTACCCAAATACCCCTGAAAAAATATTCTTCCGCATGGCTTGTTCTTCTACTTTTCTGGTTTAGATGCAGCCTAAAATATCTTTTCCCCCACAGAGAACACAAACACCGTGTGCTCAGCTTCAACTGCAGTTTAGCCCTTGACAAAACAAAAATGGGAACGGACCATGTAAACTGGTTACTGACCCTTCCTCTTTTCCAGAAAGCTCTGCTTTGGAAATTTCAGCCAAGGCTAAATGGTATGTATCAAAAAGGTGGAGGTAGTGCTGTAGACTCACATCGAAGACTAGACTTGTTAATAGAACGTGGATCCCATGAGTAATGCTCACAGCTGTGGCATCCAACAATGGAATTAACATTTCAGCAGGAAGTCGAGAGACATCCCCACAGAAAAGGCCACCTGATCCTGCTTTCGAGCACTTACAAAAATTATCCTTCCGGAGGCTACACAACGTGCGTCTCTGAGGGTCCCACCCATGATTTTTTTTTTTAATGAATCATTTGGTTACAAAATGAGACAAATGCTTATTTTGACATCGGTCGGTTAAAACACTGACAAGGAAATAGATCCGTGTTTCCCAGTACCAAATAATGATGTTTCCTAATGGCACACGATTTTTTAAATGCCCTCTTCTCTTTTCCGTCCCGAGAAAGGCACAGCTGAAAAATATACTTGGCAAACCCTTTAGGAATTGCCTGTACTGGTCATCACCCCATCTTATCTTCAAAATGAGGTTCATCATGAGGTTATGATTTCCCTACGCACTTTGCCCCGAGACTGCGGAAGGCAATACCGCATTTTTGCAGGAACCGACTTCTGATTTCCCACCGCCTACTCCGTGGAGTTACCGCCCAGTGCACAGCGCGCGCCGGGCTCGCCGCGGGGACCAGCCCGAGGACGCGGGGTCCCGTGCACTCAGCGCCTCGTCCCTAGAGGAACCCCCTTGGACGATCCCGGGCTCCGTGTCCATTTAATCATGGCGTTTGTAATTCAGTCTCCCCGCTTGGACGCGTCCACACCTGAACACTCGCCGCCCTGGGCTTTTGAAATCGGGTAACCCTGGACGGACGCGACACGGCCGCCAACGAGGGAAGGGCACGAGCAAATACAGCAGAGCCCGCACCGGCCACAAAGAATGGAGCGGGAGCAATGCCGGGCGCAGACCCAGCGCGCCGCGCCCACCCACCCGCGGCGCGCCCCCGGGCGGGGGTTCTTCCACGGCGCCCCTCATCCTGGGGCTCGGACCCCCGCTCCGCCAACGCCGCCCCCCCGCCAGACACCCCACGCCCCCGAATGGCCCCCTCCGGAGCCCCTCCACCTTCTCGGCTCGCGCGCCCAGCCCGGCAAAATCAGCCGGTGCGGTTCCACCCGCACGGCCGCCCGTGCCGCAGCGCCCCCAAATCGCGCCCGCCCCCTCCCCCACGCCTCATTGTTCCCGGGTGGCGCCGGCACGAGCGCCCCGGGCTGGCCGGG